AAGACAGAGGGACAAAGGGAGCGGTAAGCCCAGAACCAGGGACGCAAATATCTTTAGCATGTGATGGAACCAGGAGGAGCCCAGCAGCGGGGTTGTCAGTGAGGAGAGTGGCAGGCCATGAGATGAAGGAGGCATCAGGGCCACCTCATGTAGGAGGACTTCCTTGGATGGGTGAAGAGCTCGTGCTCAGGTGACTTGATCTGCGGTAGAACAGTGAAGGCAAATGCTGAGAGAGTATTGGCAGGTGATTCTGGCAGGCCGGGAAAGAAGTGGTGGTGCTGGAGCTGGAATGATCATGGGGCTGGGGAAGGGTAGGCAGACTTGTAGAGAAAAATAAGAGCTCAGCACTCTCAGGAGCTGGGAGACAGCTCAGTGTCCTCACCTCTTCACATGAGTTTCTGGCACTCACTGAGCATGGGATCTCCTCTTTAACCACCGTACTTTATTGTCTAGGATTAAGTGAGAGAGAAACCCACAGTATGATTAAGGGATAATAATGAAAAAGTTATAATCCCAGATTGTCAGAAACTCTTGGAATTACGTGTTATAGGGAACTTTGTGTATTCTCCCAAATAGTTAAAATAGTGACTTTTTAAAAATAAAATAAAGCTCCTTCCCAGGAGGTCTAAACTGGGATATGTCTTTACAGTTATTTTTATTTATTTATTTATTTATTTATTTATTTATTTATTTATTTATTTATATTTATTTATTTGTAAGTGCTAGAGGGTACATGCACTCATCAGAGAGAGGGAGAAAGCTTAATGGGCATGGACTTGCCACAATCCCTTCTGCTCCATTTCTTCATCCTGGTGCGATTTAGGGTATGCACACACACATGCCCTGTGTGTTTTTCAAGTCGCCAGGCCAGGATTTGAACCATGGTTAGCCATGTGGGATTAGCTCCTTAATCACTATACTGTTGGATTGGCCCTACAATTGATTTTCAACCTTATTAATGTCTTGGTAACAAAAGTGGCTCTGGGCCAACCTTCTTTGCTGTCTTTTATATGTAGTATAAATCACATAGCCCTTCCCAAAAGGATGGAAGATCCCTGATCAGAAAATGTAAAGAAGCCACATATGATTTCTCTATCTATATTAAAATTTTTATACCTTTTTCAACAGTGTCTGCTGTACAGAGCTTTCCATCCCCAGGAGCCTCTGCCCCCAATTCCGCAGCATATTGTAACTATGTTGGATCCCCCTGCTGAGGTGACAGCAAAATGTCAGGATTCTCTCTCTAAGATAAAGACCCTTTTCCCTCTGACGGAAGCTGTCAAGACAAAGGATCAAGTAACTGCTCAGGACATTTTCCAAGACAAGTAAGTACTCTGTGTAGTTGCATTTAATGTGGGGATAGTCTTGGAGCAGTTCTGGAATTGACGTGTTGTGTAGGGGGTCTGTGGAATTTCTAAGGTGTAAGGAAGAAACCTTTTGATATTTGACCCTCACATTGAAAGACTGGCTTCTCATATCTGTGTGTTACAATCACATCTTGTCCCTGCTGTTCACCTGGGATTTAGAGCTACCTCTGGGTTGTTGACATTTTGATCAGCATCAAATTTTTGATTAATTATACATAGAGACACTAAAAGAAAGTTTTTGAGTATCTAAACTAAATTTTACCATTTTTTAAGGGTAAAGCCTGGGGATGAGAGGAGAGAATTGGAATGAGTTTACTTATTTACTTATTTTAAAAATTTTTTCATTGGGAAGGTTAGGTGTTCAGAACACTGGTGAGATTTTGGAAGGAAAAGTGAGGAGAGGGAAAAATTCAGCCCTTCCTTAGCTGTTCTGTTAGTATGTCAGTGATGTACTTGGCTGTGCCATTAGGGAGGTATTTGTTGCTTAAGGATTGCAAAGTGCTTTTCGTTTGATCCTTAAATCAAGCTTATAGGATGCTGTTCAGTCTTTCCCCCTTATCAGATTCTATTGAAAATCTGTTTCAATTTCTATCCAAAACAAAAATAAACCTGAAGAAATTATTCCTGATTATCCGGAATCTTTTGGGTACATAACATTAATTTTGTCAGGTTGAGGAAAACTGGCTATTGATGACTTTTTTCCTCAAACCTAAACAATTTATTCAATTGTTCAGGCTGCATTTTTTTTAAGGTTTTTGCCATAGGGCACATGCACTCACCAGAGAGACAGAGACAGAGAGAAGGGGGAAAGTGAGAAATCACTCCCAAGGGGGAATGGCTACTCCACAATCCTTTCTCCTCCATTCTCCTGGAACTCTGGGCATGCATGCACATGTACCTGGCATGATTTTAAAGCCGCCAGGTCCAGGACTGGAACTGCAGTCAGCCATGTGGGAATCCAGCACTTTAACCACTATGCCATCTTCTGGCCCCTTCAGATACAGTTTTAGACTGATTTTTTTTTTCCAACTTTTTTAAGAGGTTTTTGCCTTAGGGCATGTGCCCTCACAGGAGAGACAGTGAGAGGGAAATTGTGAAATCACCCCCCTTCCCCCCCACCCCGGGAGGATGGCCATACCGCAGTCCCTTCTGTTCCGTTTTCCTCCCAGGATCTTGGGCATGCACACTCACATGCCCGACATGATTTTCAAGCCACCAGGTCTAAGATTTAAAACCATGATCAGCCATGTGCAAGTCCAGTGAAATCTACCACATGCTGGCCCCTGTACTATGACTTCTCTTTCCTTTTGATGATCTCCCCAAAGCTGACAAAGTATAGCAGAGGCATATTGAGTAGTTTCCAGAAATCTTCACAGATTTCTGTGAATTGTTAATGTAGTGAATTATCCAAATTGAATAGGATGTTGTGAGTTTTCTATGGCTTTCTAGAGATTTACACCTTTAAATTTGTTAGAATTGGGGGAAAAACATACATTTAACAGATCCTATTGTACTTTTCTAGCACATATTTGAGAGGTTTACATTGTAGTCTAGCATGCCTTCTACACAGGAAGACTTCCCTAAAAATGCACTTTCTTTCTGCTCTCCTCAACTGCATATAGGTCTCTGGCTTCATATTTTGAAAGAGTACAATAAAAGTCTGCAGCTTTTCTCCTCATAACACCTTGCTCTAGTCTCACTGCAATCACAGGCCTCCTCCCTCTCTGTATTAAAGCTCCAGTTTGTGAGCTTGATTATCTTCTGGTGTTGTGGGAAAGAAATGGGCCGGTTCCCCTCCTCCATTTGATTAAAATGTAAATTAGCTGTTTAAAAAAACACACCACAGAGACCAGGGAGGCTGCTGCTCTGTGACCTGATCTCTGCTGTGATTACACCTTCAGCTCTAGTCCTGCCACCGGCGGTCTGTTCTGTCCTGTCCGGAAGCTTGTTGTGCTGGACTTCTCTGCTCCCATAATTGCGACACAGCCGAGTAGCATGGGGCCCAAGAATGATCTCATTCACACACACCTACTCACACTCCTATTCTCTACCCTTGCTGCTCAGAAACCTTAGTTTTTAAGAACTACAGAAATGATGCATTTAGCAAGTACTTACTAAGCACGTCTTGTATTTAAGAAGAATGACTCAGTCTCTCTGCAAGGTTTTTAAAACTCTCAGTTTTTATGGTAAGGCCCCAATCAGCTTTAGAGGTAGTTTCCCTCAGGGGGAAAAAAGTCAAACAGCTGTGTTTTTGTGGCTATTCAGCATCCCCGTATGCAGAGAATATAGTTCCAATGGAGGGGTGAGGGGCTGAGACTGAGGAATGGGCAGGTGACAACTCACAAGTACCTAAGACAAAGTCCTGAGCTGGGAATTACTAATTTTCATTCCACCTTTGTCACTCTTTTTTTTTTTTTTTTTTTTTTTTAGGGGTTTTTGTAGCTATAGGGCTCGCCAGAGAGAGACAAAGAGACAGAAAGCAGGAAATCACCCCCCAGGGGGGATGGCCACGCCGCAATCCCTTCTCCTACATTCTCCTCTCAGGATCTTGGGCACGCACGCACACGCACCCAGCGTGAGTTTTAAGCCACCGGGTCCAGGACTTGAACCGCGGTCGACTACATGGGAGTCCAGCGACATAGCCATTATGCTAACTGCTGGTGCCCAGCTTTGTCACTCTTAATCTAATTTTGGTTAAATAATTTTACCTTTATGAGATTATCTCCATCTAAAAATAGCCTCAATCCAGGAGATACTCTAACAATGAAGTCACAGATACTAGAGTACTTTGAGTTGTCTGGAGAGAAGGCAGGAGTCCAAACCCAAAGCAGTACTAATATCATTATCAATTATAATATTGAACATTTTTGAAGGTCTGCTATGTGTCTTGGATTTATTGAATATCTGGTGTTGGAAGTGGTTTCTTCATCTCAAGAAGATAAGAGACCACTTGATGTTGTAGTCTAAAATGTACTAGTTATTACTCTTATCATATAAAAGCATTGCTTCCCTTAATGTTGACATACACTTTTAAAAGAAAATGTTATCTCTTCATAGCGAATTTGCATGAGAATGAGGACATTTGAAGTCTAGCCCTTGTGCAGCTAACACATATGTGCTGTTGATTTCTTTTTGCTTCTGTGCAGATAGTCTAAAGTTTTCTGTTCTTTTTTAAAAATTTTTTTTCTTTATTTATGATAAAGCACTGCACACGTAAACAAGGTAGAGATAGAGATTACCCGCCATAGGTCTGGTCGTACCACGATCCCCCTCCTCCAGTCCTCCAGCTAATCACACCTTGAGCACCTGTGTGTGAGCCTAGCATGTTGGCTGATCAGGCCAGGAATTTGAACCATAGATGCCATGGGATTGGGTTTCTCTAGAGCAACCAATACCATGGTGCCGTAGAATAAGCCCCAAAGTTTTCTTTTTCAAGATCTCTACCTCTCCCTCCCACCAGAGCCTCTCATCTAGCTGTTGATTAAGACTTGAGAGTCCCTAGTCAGCCGGTGTGGGTCGTAGGTATGTAGTGTGACTTTAGGTTCAGGGTGCTTCCCCTCTCTAATCCTCCATGTTTTTATGGGTAAATGAGGACAACAGGAATATCTGTCTCAGAGAGTTGTCATAGAGGTTAACTGAGTAGGATGTGCCGCTCACGGTTTTCTCTAGAATACAGCATAGTGCTTAGCACCTAGTAAGAGCACAGTGCTTCTGGGTAAAGGATTTAAAAAAAAAAAAAAAAAACCTGGTCATGTCCCTGGCAACAGTGATAGTAGTGATGATTTCATAGAGAAAATAGAGACTAGTAGGTGGGAACACCTTGATTGTTTTGGTCCATCTTATCTAAAAGCATCTATTTTTCTCAGCTACCTTTACTGTATTGTTTCAGTGGAATAGGGTACCTCATCCTGCCCAAAGTTAGTGCCTTTACCTGAGGTCCCTTCTGCATCTAGTACCTTAGTTCCACTAATAATTGCTTCCCCCTTTTTGTATTTTCAGGTGCTCCTCTATCAGCTCCTTTCCTCCTTATGTTAACATTTTATTTTTCTAGAGGTTTTTGCCGTAGGGTGTGTGTGTTCACGGGAGAGACAGAGATAATGAAAGATAAAATGAGAAATCTGCCGCCTAGGCGGGTGACCACACTGCAATCCCTTCTCTTTCCAGGATCTTGGGCACGTATACACATGCACCTGGCGTGAGTTTCAAGCCACCAGGTTTGGGACTTGAACTATACTTGACCATGTGGGAGTCCAGCAACATAACCGCTACACCATCTGCTGGTCCAAACCTTTCATCTGAGACAAAATAAAGTAATTCCCCTAGCTTGCTCTCTCTAATCACTCACTACCTGTTATAAATTACTAATAAGATTATTATTTTTCCTTCCATAGGCCAGGCTTACTGGAAAAATCTCATTGGGATTTTGGGCACACAGGAACATACACCTCACCACATTTTTCAAGCTGCCAGGTCCTGAACTCAAATCACGTAGTTGACTGTGTGGGCTTCACATCCCTTAGCCGCTAGGCTACAGGACTGGCCCTCTTTCTCCTATGCTCTGTCCAGACCTGTCTCATGCTGTTATTCTCCATTTCATTGAATGATATCTCATTGTCTAGGAGTTGTCCCTTGCTTTTTGCTTTCCATATCTAATGGATTTGCAGAGTTGTATATAATTTACCTCAAGTCCACCCCTTTCATTTCAGGTTAGTATAGTAGCTAATAGCATTGATTTGGGAGTCAGATTCGGACCTAAACCCAAGCATTTCCCTTTCATTGTGGTTGAAATTGGCCAGTGGCTCTGTGTGGAATGGCAGTAACAGATACCTGCCTTTCAGGAGGCTGGAGAGGAAGGTGGTTAAGAGTGCAGGACTAGGTCACAGACTGGCCCAGCAGTAAAGTGTGACACTCTGCAAGGCAGTCCCCCCATTCAAGTCTGGAGACCTCTGTAATGAGCCAGGCATGTGTTTTCCTGTGATACAGAGCTGGCTGAGGGCTGAGAGTAGATCACAGCATCAAGGCGCTGTTAGGGGTCCTGCTTGTTTTCTCTCACTCCAGGGAAGAAGTATACTTTGAAAACTTAAAAAAAAAAAAAAAAAAAAAAAGAGGGGGGGAGGGTTGCCCCATAGTACAGTGGTTAAAAGCTGTGTGAAAGAAACTGGGTCCCATGTGACCGTGGCTTGAATCCTGGTCACAACAGCTTAAAAAATATGCCATGTTCATGTACCCTAGTGCCCACAATCTTGACAAGATGGAGAAATGGGGGGAAAGGGATTGCAGTTTGACCATGCCACATTGGAGGGTGCTCTCTCTCTCTTTTTTCTCCCTCTCTCCCTCCTCCGCACTCTTACTTTTTCTCTGGCAAATGCACATACTCTCTGAAGTAAATGTAATTTAGAATAAGGAAAAAAGAATACAAGATTAGTTCTGACACCCCTTACTGTGTACTGTGGACAAGGGTCAAACCCTTTTGCATTTTGGTTTACTCATCTGTAAAAAGCAGTGGATAGTAGCTCATTTACAGGCGTCTTGCAAAGTCTGAGTGAGCTCATTTAAATGGGCTTAGCACATGGTAAGCACTAAAAAGAAAGGTTGGCTCTTATTAGGATCATCCACTACCATTCCTTTCATGTACGTCTTCTCATTTGAGCCTGCTTTATGGAGATAACCTCTTAACTGATTTCCCACACTCCAGTCTTATCCCTTTCTAATCTGTTTTGCTACCTGAGTAATTTAAACTCATACACTGTCTCACACAAACAGATCTAATCACATCACTTCCTCACTTAAAAATGTTAATGCTGTGATTCTTTATCTTTTAGTGTTTGTGATAGACCTATTTTATATTAGAAAAGAAAAACTGAACCCTCTCCCTACAAAAATGCCCTACTGTACCAATATTTCAAGTTTTGAATATAATTTCAGTTAGTTTTATAGATTCCTTGACTCCATTCTTGGACTGGTGAAAAACCTTTGTTTTAATGGTTTCCCATTCGGCGTAAATTCAAAGTCTATTACACAATCGAGAAAATCCTGCTAAGAAGCATCTATCCATAATCTAGCCACCTAGAAAAAAACATTTTCTTTCCTTATTTTTTATGCCTATAATTTATATATATTTTTTTAGCCTCATCTCTTACTACTTCCCAGCTTGCACCAGCTCAGTATAACTCATTGTTATCTTCTGAAAAGAATATGCTGCCTGCCACGATATTTTGTTAGTTGTGTGCTTATAGATTTATCTTGTTTATTTAGCTGAATGTTTTAAGATGTTGATTGTGTATTAATTTTTGAATATCTAGAGTTTAGAGTCTAGCGTAGTAGCTGACATGTAAGTATTAAAATGTTTAGCCAAGCAAATGAATTATAAAATTCATACTGTTTGTGAAAGAAAATGAGAAATGGGGAAACAAACTACCCATGGCCCCACCTCCTAAGTGCAGCAGCTGTTAACATTTGTACATCTGCTATGTTTTGTGTGGATCATTTCTAAGTTCTAGAACTTAGTGCCATATAGGTAATCTAGGAATGAGAGTCTTTTTCCTTTCCCACTTACAGACATTATGAGTTTAATATATGCAAAATTCCTAATAATGCTATTAAATTATTTGATCTTGAGGATATTAACCATGTCAAATTTTCACTACTTTCTACTTTCATCTGGGATTGCTTTTACCCACCCTACCTAGAATTGGTACACGTGTTTCTTTTCCCTGGCTTATTTAAATCTTACTTTGAAACGTTTAAGAAATTCTTTGTGTGATTCAACTTTGTATTCCAACAAAATTCTTCATAGTGCTTTGTAAGAAGATGTAAATGCTTCTCAAGGCCAGTAAATAAGTTAGTTAGTATTTTTTTTAAAGAATCATTTATTTGCAGGCCGGCAGGTGGTGTGGTAGTTAAAAGCACAGGATTGCCACAGGACTGACCACTGTTTGAGTCCTAGACCTGGCAGCTTGCTTTCTCACTTTCCCTTTCTCTCTCTGTCTCTTTCTGGTCAAAATAAAAAATAATAATTACAAATGGAGTTAAATAGATAAATATTTTTAAAATAATAATAATTATTTATTTGGGGCCAGCAGATCTCCTTGTGGTTACATTGTAGAACTCACATGGCCATCCATGGTTCAAGTCCCAGATGCAGTGGCTTGGAACTCATACCAAGTGTGTGTGCGGGCATGTCCAGGATCCCAAGAGGAGAATGGGGAAAGGATTGTGGTGTGGCTATCTCCCCGGGGTGATTTCGGGGGTGATTTCTCACTTTCCCTCTCACTGTCTCTGTCTCTCTCTCTCTGGAGAGCACACGTGCCCTAAGGCCAAAAAGAAAACCTCTAAAATTTTTTTTATTTATTGTTTAATTTTATTTGTAATTATTATTGTTGTTGTTATTTTTTTATTTGACCAGAGAGAGAGAAAGAATGTAAGAAAGCAAGCCACCAGGTCCAGGCCTCCAACTGCAGTCTGCCATGTGAAAATCCAGCATTTTAATTACCATGCCACCTGCTGGCCCCTAGTTCATATTTTGGAAGACAATAGTTGATATACTAATGGTCCTTCTCATCATACTATTTTCCTAAGGAGCAAACTGAAGCTCAGCAGGGACCATAACTAACTAGACTCTAGATACACACTGTACACCTTCAAGAACGTGTAAGATTTCAGAGCTGGTCAGTGGCAAAATTGAGACTAGAATCCAGGTCTTTTGTCTCCAAGTCTTCAGCAGTACCATGTTGTCTGTCTTTTGGGGGAGAATTGGCAAAGGTGAACTAAAGTAGCTGTCTGCAACCTTTATCAAAAAATTAACTCTATGAGGTGTAGTGGTTAAGATGCTGGATTCCCACCTGGCCAACTATGGTTCGAGTCCCAGCCTTGGTGGCTTGAAAATCATGCTGGGTACATGTGCATGTATGCCCAGAATCCCAGGAAAAATATGGAGGAAAAGGGCATGGTCATCTACCCTGGGGGTGAATTTTCATTTTCTTTCTCACTGTCTCACTCTGTCTCTCTGGCAAGCACATGTGCCCTATGGCAGAAACCTTAAAAAAAAATGAACTCCTAATGGAATTTGATTCTTGAGTTTGTGCATTTTTTCATGTTCACCATCAAGTCTCTGTGTACTTATTTTTTATTCTATGAAGAAAGAGCTCTGGATGACTTAACCCCCTTTAGTGTTTCCTGGTCCCTGTCGTTCTTGAGTTCTGCCTATCTCTCTGTTTCTCAAAGGGAAAAAGGTTAGTGGTCAATGGAAAAGATGAAGAGTAACAAAACTTCTCATTCATGTAAGGGGAGGTGTAATGATTACATTAGTCTGTTCACTTACTTGTAAGAAAGAGGAACTCATTATTAAAATACCACTGAGTATGTCAGTTTGTGCTTTATTTTTCTTTGCCCAATCCTCATTGTCCGAAGGTTGAGGTTTCAGGGGTGGAGAGGGTAGGAAATGAGCATATGTTTAGAAATACTAGTATTAAAAATTGCTAAAAGAGTCAATTTTAAGTGTTCTCACCACAGAAAATGATCGGGCATGTGAGGCAATGCATATATTGATTTCTCCATTCCATGGCCTATACATATTTTAAAACATGTTGTATGTGATCAGTGTATACAAATTTTGTCAGTTAAATTAATTCATGAATTAAAAATTTAAAAAGAAATACTAGATCTTCGTGACAGTTGCTTTTGCCCTCAGATTGATTATTTCTCTGAGAGAAAAATCTTCATGTATTTATGTTCAGCAGCTTCCAGGAGATTATGGGCAGAGTCTTGAATTTGACATTCTTCTTTGCAATTAACTTAACCTCCTTTTGACTTTAAGGCAGGCTATTAAAGCCAACATGTTACTCGAGGCAAGATGTTCGATACACTTTCCTGGAGTCATCTCTTCCGCAGCACACAGATGCTACTAGATGCTGTTAGCACTTTGCCCCTAACAGAATTAGGTTTATAAAAGAACATGTGAAAAGTTTTCTTTTGGAAGTGTTTGTTCACAGTGTAGGGCTTCTCTAAGAGAAAGCTCTTGCATATTTAATTAAGGATTTTCTAGCAAGTTCTGCTAGTTGTAAGTAGAAGCTTATAAAGCTCTCACATCCACAGTGAAGGAGACAGATTATTAGGCACAAAGGTCTTCTCTGTATCTGGGAAGATAATAGCTATCAATTCTGAGACAGAAGCATGCAAATAATATCTGAAGGGCAAATGGATTTGTTACTTAAATGTTAAGTTTCCATTACCTGTGCTTGTGGTTCCATCTTTCGTGAAGACTTTGTGGTGTGACTGCCAATTATGGTTTCTGTGCTGCTGTGGAACAAAACCAGGGCTGCTCTAGGCTGGGCTGTCAGGAGCCCTGAGACTGGGACGGGGAAGTGTGCTGTGATAAAGAAGGACTAATTGCTGCTGGGTTTTTTTTTTTTTTTTTAAGAGATTTTCACTATAGGGCGTGTGCACTCGCCAGACAGACAGAGAGAGACATTAGAGACAGAAAGCGAGAAATCACCCCCCAGGGGGGATGGTCACGCCGCAATCCCTTCTCCTCCATTCTCCTCTCGGGATCTTGGGCACGCACGCACACGCGCCCGGCGTGAGTTTTAAGCCACCAGGTCTGGGACGCGAACCGCGGTCAACTACGTGGGAGTCCAGCGACATAGCCTTTACGCTAACTGCTGGTTCCCGTTTATTTTTCATTCTTGGAAAATAAGTTTACATTTATCATATTGCCAATTTTTGTTTGTGTATTATTTATCTTGTTTTAAGAGGAAAAAAAAACAAAAAACTTTTTTTTTTTTTAGCCATGAAGAAGGACCCACTGCTAAAAAGTGCAAGACTGAGGAAGGGGAGACCCCATTTAGTGTCTCCAGCCTGGCAGAAGGCAATGTTACCAGAGTAAGCAGAGCTCTTTCAATGGGGAGAGGGGGCTGAGGGAGGTTGCATCATTTATTGTTAGCCCATGAATTTACTGCTTCATCTAGTCATCTCAACATAAATCATAAAAGCCTATCTCATGCTACTGCTTTTCTTCAAGTAATTATTCTAGGTGAATTATAGAGAATGATCTATTGGCTTGCCAGAAAAGTCATGAAGCATTTTTGCATAGAAAAACATTGAAAATAGGACTTTTTTGACCCAACGTATGATATAGAATATAGAGACCTCTGTGTACTATTTAGAACATGGAACACCCCAGTGGTAGTAGCACTTTTTAAGTTTCTTTCTTGAGAGAGAGAGAAAGAAGCGAGGGGGGAGGGAGGAAGATTAGAGAGAAGTGGACAGGAGCAATAGAGATCAGTGCTCACAACAGGTTCTCCTACCGTGGTCCCCGCTGCCCCCTGGCCTCTCATCCAGCCAGGATTGTGTGCAGGAGTACCTGCTGTTTAAGGTCGGCCTGGGAACTGAACTCCAGTATCTTTATGACTGCTAGCACTGCAGAGTGTTGCATGACCATCATGCCACCATGGCTGGGCCTCAGTTGTAGTATTTTTTGGTAGATTTTGTTGTTGTCATTGGCTCCACTTTGCAGCATTCTGTTTAGTCAAAATGATAGTATCAGTGTGGGGGGAAGTGAGTAAATGATACAAGCCTTACTCTTCAAGTACATAAAATTTAAAATAATCCAATTCTATCTGTTTTTTTAAAATATGACTTTAGATTAGGATTCACAAGTTTAGAATTTTCCTGAACCAACTATATTTTGACACTTTCAATCTTTTATATTTAATGTTTTATGTTTTTGAAGATTGCTCATATGGCCTTATTTTACATAAATGAATCTTAATTCTTAGCCCTTATTAGCAAAGTACACCAGGAAGAATATCAGTACCAAAGTCATGCCTTTCTTCTCACCCCAATAGAACTGCTCAGAAAACTTGGATGTCTAAAATTTGGATTAGATTTGGATGTTTTATAGTAAGGGGGGGTGTGTGTCATGATCTTACAATATTTGTTTTGAGAGCTTTTCTACTTGGTATACCAGAGCAAACTGGAAACTTTAGTGCTAAAGGCATAAATAGGAACCCTATCCTCTCTCCCCTGAGTGGAGAGATACTTAGGCCGTGTTAGGATGGAGGCGGGCAGTTAAAGACACAGATGATCAGAAAGTGCCATACAGTGTGGCGGAGGGTTCCACCTCGGAACCTTTCCTACAAAGCACTGTAGCGTGTGTTTTTATATCTACTTTGACTTTTTGAGGGCATATTCAGCTTGGGCATATTTGTGTATTCTCTCCAAACTAAGTAATGTACAAAGTGCCAAGAGGGCAGTAGTAGGAGTTCCCCAAAAAAGCACAGTTCAGCAAATCAAGCATCAAGCTGCTATATCTTTTTTATTATCCTTTTTCTTTTTTAGAAGTTTTTGCCTTAGAGTGTGTGTGCTTGCCTGAGAGAGAGAAAGAGACAGTGAGAGGAAAAGTGAGAAATCACCCCCCAAGGGGGATGGCCATGTTGCAGTCCCTTCTCCATTTTCCTCCCGGGATCTTGGGCATACACACACACACACACACACACACACACGGCGTGAGTTTGAAGCTACTGGGTGCAGGACTCAAACCACAGTTGGCTAGGAGGGAGTCCAGCAACATAACCACTAAGCCACCTGCTGGCCCCGCAAGCTGTTATTTCTGATGCTATCTTAGTGGAGCAAATATGTTTTAAATAGAGCCCACTCTGCAGACTCCTGCCTTTCATAATTGGCTGAGTGTCAGGGTGAATAGATAACCTGTACCACATAACGCCTTCAAGCTGGCTGACTGATGGCTCGGGTTGTAATACTTCTGAGCCCTCTGAAAAAAGTCACTCTACATAAAGAAAGGTGAATGCAGGCATAGAGAGCAACTGTTGTGCTACTGGAGGCTGCTAGCTTTTCACAAAGCTCGAGAAATGAAAATGAATAGAAAAGGCCTTCTCTTTGTCTTTGGTTTTATATAAATATACTTAATACAGTAAGCCATCTTGTGTTACCTGGGGTGCTGCCAAAATGGGAAGTGACCTGTAGGTTTATTGTCTCTGGGTATATTCTAGGTTGG